AATTTCGTCGTTATACAACATTTTATATTACTTCACATAAGACTAATATATACACACTTCGTAAACTATAATTTACCTTTGAAAGTGTATTCACTCTATAGTTCTTAGAATGGTCGCTAGTATCTAGCTTCGAAATAGTTTTCTCGATATTATAATGAGAAGTCAGGGAAGTCGAGAATCAGACGGTAATTTAATCACTGTTGATACTGGATGATCATCGAGATACATCACACATTGATGAAATCAGAAACCTAAACCACGAGAATTCAATTCCATAGCTTCAAAATATCTTATTTATTGGAAGATCTGAACTTTCTGAGTTGGATCTCATGCTGGGGTTGTGCGCCGATACTGGTGAGAAATTCTAAACTCATGTGTAAAATCTGTCTAATGTCCCATAGTTTTTTCTAATTATCCAGCTAATGTCGCCACAAGACAAAATACATAAACAATTCTAAATATTTTACTTTATAAAACTGTTTCTCCACTATTGAATATTTCATTAGCCAACATTTATTTCAACTAGTGACGAAAACCTTTTAACTGATTAAACATTACAGTTATGGTGTGTGCTACTTATACTGACATAAGTAGTAGGTGATGTTAGTCGTGAACAGAATGTCTGGCAGCAGGGAGACAAGAGAATCGAACAGTAAAGAATGGAAATAGAATGCAATTTGTATGAAAATGCAAGAACAATGAAGTCTGAGTCATTATGAGACAATCGGTGGATATTTTGCAAATTATGTATTTACTATTTGATTGTCAGATTTTACTACCAAATCCTGTAATTTTGTGTTAAATACATTTGATTGTCCCTGCTGGTGTCCAGTTCACTACACAGTGACTTTTAGTCGTAAACGTTGTATCGATTTGCTACCTAGTTTTTCTATGTAGGGATAACTTTAATTTTGTTAAACTATTGTCTGTCAACAAACACTTATATGTTTCCAAGATAAGCAGATCAATAAAACTTTCTACGAAATTTGTTTATTTTCAATTGGTCTATACAACAACCTTTAGAAATAAATTGATGAATCTCTGTTTCACTACCTAAAATTTAATGACGTATTATTGATTAAAAATTAGTCATTTTTTATAAACAGATGAATGTACAACACTTTTATTTAACAAGTCAAGATGTCTCATAGTTATAGATTTATAGTACTCTTATACGTCAACCGTTAACAGCCTAGAAGTTGTAAACCAACTGGACTTTCTGCAAATGTGTTCAAGCTCCACATCAACCAGATGGAGGAAAATGAAATTAAAATAATACTATACAAAGTAGCGAATGCTAAACATAAATAATATAGTTAGAAAAAAAAGAATAGTAACAAACAATGAAGTATATTATGTCTTATAAGATGTGGAGTGAACAAAACTCCTCCATTCGTTCAAATTTATGTCGTCAATTTTCACTGAATACATTTCATTTGATACTGTACAGCAGAGGTGGATTCTAATCTCTCTGCAAAATTTAGTATAGAAATTATTTTGTCGATCTCGCTGTCATAATCTACATTGTCATAATCAAATAAATTATTAAGTGTGGGCTTCCAATGGTTGTCTAACTTAGATCGGTTCGTGATTTCCATTTATAACTATTAATATTAACTAACTCTACTTATATACTTGTGTTAAATGTAACTTATTAGTGAGAAGTGGCAACCGTCAGAGGCCCAATGTACAGTAAATACTTGTCATAGCCCAGTTAACTAACAATTTCTTTCAAACATTTAATTGGTCAGGAAGTTAAAGGTAGTTAGGTACATTCTTATGATAAGTCGTTATCACAAGCGAATATGCCAAAACTTTTCAGTTAATGGATATTCGATTCATCATGTGAATGGAATTTCTGGTATGACTTCATTAGCCATATAAACGCTTTTGGTTTAACTCTAGGAGTTTGCCAAGCTATGAAATTGTCTTGTCTGAGTTAGTAAATTCTTGTCTGTGATAGAGCAGTTCGAAAAATTGGTACGGATAAACGTACAAAACCCAAACTTGATTGATAAATCACCAGAAGCACATAAACATATACATTTCATAATTATTGTTATATTATTTCCAAATATATCTAAATTATATATCTCATAACTAACACACTATTAAAAATATTTAGTACACAAGAATGGAGAAGAGACTAAACAAGAACATTTTGCCGCTTGTGGACAACAACACGATGCACATTTCCAATTCTATGAAGGCAGCGGTACGCTCTCCGATCACCCGCATATATTGTAGTACCCGGTTGCACATATTCCGTATAATTGGTATTATCGTTGTATCCTGTCGGTTTCTAACCCGCTAGAAGTGTCCCTTTTGAGATGACCTATCGTATATTCCAAGGACCTGTGAGGTATATTTATGAGAGTGCTACTTACCCAGTCTTCTTTAACACTATATCCTCTGTTGAATTTTCGTTTTCCGACAACAGTTTCGTTTATTTCAACAATTCTCACGACTCCCCCAGACGACTCATGTAAGCTTGTCATTTTCACTGCGTACATAACTTTACAATACTCATACCACTGAACAGCCTTGGCTTCAGTAACATCTGAAAAGGTTGCAGCCAGTGTTACTGGTGCTTTTATTATCTACTTTGTAACAATTATCATAATTTACCTTAGTCTCAATCTGGATCGAGCGAAAAAAATCGTCTTCTGGCAGACTTATTCCTCCAAAATATATTACATCGAAAGACAACAACATCACTGCAGTCTGCACAAGATCTACAATCACAAATAAAGGAACTTCTTAGTAGTCCCATTTGTTGTAGACGCTCAATTATAATGTCTTCTCTAAAATCCGCCGTGAAACGATCGTACGTGAGCATCAAGTACTGAAATTGGCGCCGTGACTTTGAAATCCCTCAAACGCTTCTGATTGGCTCGTCCATAAATTATAGTCTCGACCGTTTCAGGTTACTTAGAAATGAACACTTACACCAGATCTACCCTAAAACGTTCGAGTTTCATAATGAAAACTTGAGGTGGAATCCACTAGATCATATATCATCATTAATCAATGTCTCAGTCCTGACATGATCGATTCTATAAATCACAGTTTACCACTAAAACATTTATCAATAAATTAGTCATTTGTGTAAAAAAACTTCATCCCAAAACACTTACTTATCAAGTTTACGAAGGTGGATCGTAGCTATCATCAGATTAATTCCACTTGAAGTCCTTCAAGAGCTACTGTCGGCTCAAAGCTTGGTTGAAAGATACTTGAGTGTAGGGTTGGCAATGCAAACTAGAAAGAAAAAACCCAATACAGAAACAACCCATTAAACTCTGTCCTTGTAGCTAAACAGTTTTCACCTGGCGATGACTAAATCCAAACTGAGTCTAAGAAAGCACTGAATATTTAGACAAGTAGAACCTAAAATGCATAAATCAGCGTTTCTTCAAGACGCTAACAAGCTCCAAGGGTTGAACATAGACCTCAGCAATTAGTTGCGAGCCTTACAAGATCATTTTCAACGAGGAAACCGATATGGAGAACAACAAGAAAGAAATTAAAAACAGTAGATTCAACACCCCAGATCTCAAGAAGCACCAGGATAAACAACGGATCTCTGTACACAGTTTGGAGAAGATTCAGGAAATGTAGGTCAAGAAGGCAACAACCGAACAAGACCGAAGACAATCAAGACACAGACCAAATGTACAGAAGCAAACAAGCGAGTGAAGAAAAGCACCAAGTTGAAATATGTAAAAGACCTAGCAACTACAACAAAACAAACTGGAAGGAAGGGACATGTCAAGCAACCATATGATACAACCAAGAAGCTAGTGAGGATATATAGTAGACCAGAGCAACCAGTTAGGAACAAACAAGAAAAGTCAGTCACTGAGGTTAGAGAGAAGCAGATCAGACTAGTAGAGCACTCTGAAGAGTTCCTGAATAGATCAGTCCCGTTCAACCCAACACACAAAGGCCTCCGTACAAATGTTACTGTGCCAGAAATAAAAAACATCAATGCGATCAGACAAATCAAGAATGTCAAAGTAGAGGGACCAGAAAGCATAGCGGTGGAAGCACTGAAGTCAGGTATAGAGGCAACTGCAACATATTCTCTTCAGAAAGCTCTGAACGGGAGGACAAGTTCAAGAGAGATACCCTATCAAAACATTGAAGAAAAAAGATCGTAGTAAGTGACATCATACTACTGTCAGTTCCAGGCAAAGTTGTCAACAGAGTGTTACTGGACCAAACGAAAGTTTCAGTAGACACCATACTCTCAAATCAACAAATCGGATTTCGTGAGGATATATCATGTACCGACCAAATGGCGGTACAGGACATCGTTGCTGAGCAATCAGCCAAATGAAATTTATCGTCATACAACAACTACCATAATTGTGAAATAGCATGCTACAGTTCAAACTGGAAAGACTTGTGGAATCTTCCTTGAAACTATAGAGTGCCCGAGAACATCATCGCCATCATACGGATCTCCTATGACGGACTTTATTACAAAGTCATGTATGGAGGCACCTCACAGATGAATTCCAAGTGAAGACTGGTGTCAGACAACATTTCCCGCTTCCGCCTTTCCTCTTTCTTCAGGTTTTTGATTAGATTATGAAAACTTCCACAGCTTAAGAGAAGCACGCAATACAGTGGACACCTCAAGTGTTGCTGGATGATATGGATAACTTAGTCCTCCTTAAGGTTAAAAAGAGGCAAATCAAAGGAAACATGAAGGTGGAATTCGGAGGCAGATAAGAAGACCGTAAATACCTCTCGACAACAACATGGGAGGAGAGTCCGGAATAGAGTTGCTTGGAGATTCCTGGTTAGTTACTTATGTCCCAATAGGGGTAGAAGGCATAAGTAATCATCGGTTTGTTTACCCATTAAAATCCCATCAACAGCTTGAGTATAAAATTATTCCAATCACATCGAAATCAATATACATTCAATATAGTCTTAAAGAAGTATTCCTATAATTGCCAAGGTATTATTAATCATTGATCTACATCACTATGACAATTAGCAGTTTATTTGTTTGAATAAATCAATCACGATAAATGAAGAGAAACAACGATAAAAAACAACCCTTTACAGGTACGGTAGAAATTTATTTTTTTACAGGAAAGTCCTCGATAAGACCAACAGTAACAACGATAACAACCAATAAAATGCCAGAAAATTGATTTTACCCATCCAACTAACCTATTATTCTACAATGTAAAAAAACCCACTGAAATCCTGAAAATTCAGAATTGGAACGGAAAGTTATGACAAACTGGATGAACACTTCTCTTTTTAAAAATATAGTTTTCTTTTACAAAAAAAGGAATAATGGAAGGAAGTAAACTACAGTATATTTCTCTCGTATCACATGCAAATAAACAAAATATACACAGATACGAAAAAACATGAGCTGCTTCTTTGTGTTAAACATCAAATAATGAATGGATTGTCAAAAAGGTGTAGAGATTGTAAAACATTGATTGATTAAAAACGTAACAGCAATTATAATAATAGTAATAATGAGTACAGATTGACATTAAGAAATGAAATAAGATAGATTGGTGAAGAAAAATAGCCAGACGGAAATGATACAACTGTCAACTATGACAGTAGCTACCGGAGAGAAGATAAAAATTATTAGTAAAAGACTAGGCACTGTATATATATGAACATGCATTTCAACGACATTAGTGGAAGATAAAGTACACAAATATGTACACGTCCAGACACATACACGAAGAGAAATGTAAATTTTACAATCATTAAAATCACCAATGATTTAAAAGGGATAGAATGGCGAGATAAACAGGAAGTATGGGTGAACAGGATTATAGTTTTAAAAATGTGAAAGACCAAACAAAAATATACAGATATGGTTCTATTATAATAATGATTATAGAAAACTGATACATGTTATGTATGATTATAGAAAAACGAAAGAATATGGAATGTCATACACTGAAATAACACTAGTGTGTATGATTGCATAAATTTTATTGTATAAAACGTTATATTAACATAGAATAATGATTTATGACGATGACAATAATTGTTTTAGTAATAGTAACAATTTATCGTGATATAAATGAGATAATTGAATACGGAAAAGTAGAACAAGACAGTATATTTACACAAAATCATCCATTTCATTTAAAATGAACTCCATAGCTGTACAACGAAATTCTGCAGTTTGCCAACATTCTAATAGTTTTTTACATTCGGCATTAATCACATATTCAATACGTTCACGATGTTGCATTTTCATCATACATTTAGTGATTTCCAATGACTAAAATTTGATAAGGAGAGAAAATCGACCAATTCGATTTTTACATAAAGAAATCACTATTAAATTAAGTTTATAATAAGATTAAGGTGAACACAAAACATTTTTAACAGTTCCTAGCAAAACAAAACTAGATGTTTAACTTCAATGGTGAATGAGTAATCAATAAAGCTCATTTCCTCCAATTGTTTAAATTTCATATGATATCTGATCATATTTACTTTCTGTGTCATATTTCTCACATAAATTTATTCTTTTTTACTGTAGCTTCTTCTGTTGTTTATTGAAATAACTTTACCAGGGAGCTTCGAAAACGGAAATCTAATTTCGTGCGCAATAATTAGTTCACTACATTATTCTAGTGTTTCATGAAGTTCTTTTAACAATCCAAATTATATCTTATAAAACCATGTTTGGGAAATTTCACAAAAAATGTTTCACTGATAATAACAAGTACAAAGATACCTACCATACACGAATTTTCTGCTAATTTTCGACAACGGAGAAGTAGTTCTTGTTTAAAACTTTTGGGGAACAAAAGATCAGAAGCTAAACCTCGTTGTAAAGCTTCACGTGCGGACAATTTACGACCTGCTAATAATAGTTCGTTTGCCTGTACAATAATTTTTATGAAGAGAAATATTCAGTATGAATAAACGAAATATCTGTAGTTCGAATGTTTTTTAATAAAAAATAACTTCGGAAATCGAACCGGAAAAAATAAAATTAATTACTACGGAATTAAAGCAAAATAAATGTTGAAAATGTTATTATTTCGCAGACTGTCTGAATTTCAATTATATTATGGATTGATGATTAAAACATTTAACTTCTAATAAGTGAGTTATAGATTGAGACCTGCTTCGCTTACTTCAACTTAGGGAGTCGGCCGACAACCATAACAACAGAAACGAGACTCAAACACTGGTACAATGAGTTAGTTTATAAAATTTATCTTGTTCTGTACAAACGAATATCAAACACTGAGATTCATTTCGGTTCAAAAATTCGTCATATAACAGTCCATATGAAGATCAATGAATATATATATATATATATATATATATATATATATATATATATATATATATATGGACTTGGCGAATTGCATTAACAGGTCGTTCTTTTATCGCTAACTAAAACAGAACATTTCTTACAGACTCTCAGTTCTGATAGACAATGATTTTGTCTCTGCCTGATGCAAATAGTAACAACATAATGTAAATTCGCGATTATTTTGTCAGTTTTGTTTTCACTGCACTCCAATAAGTTATTTCATATATCTTATATTAAGGTAACGAATAATAAGATCAAAATTTGATACATACATAATATTTCATACAACTTACCAAAGGCATACCAACAAGACTGTTTAAAGTGTAAGTTGATGCTCCTTCAGGAATTTGACCAAGTCGAGTATATGGCATATAAAATGTAGCTGAGTCACTTATGTAAACAATGTCACACAAAGGTAACATAGCAACAGCCAGTCCTAATGCTGGACCATTCACACCAACTACAACAGGTTTAGGAAACGAAACTAATGCCAATAAAAATGATCTTAAAGCTGCCGCTAGACGTCCGACATTTGAAGAATTTGGTGAGCAGAAAAATGAATGGACTCTATTTATATTTCTGTGAGATGATGAATTTAAATTTGAGTCATAGTTAGTTTGAGAAAATGAACAATTTGTATTATCAGAATGATGTGATTTTGAATTATCAGCTCCAATTTTATGATGATTTGAATTACGTGAAGCGAATACATTGGCTGAACTAGAGGATGAACTGCGAGATGAATCACATGAAGATGGACCAATAAATGCACTTCTTAAAAGATCGCCCGTAATTGTTGTCAAGTCTATTCCAGAGCTAAACACAGTTCCTGTACCAGAAATCATGATTAAACGACTTGTATCATGTGTTGCTCGGTTCAAAACAATTGTTAATTCTTCAAGGACCTTCACAATTGCAAATACATGAGAAAAAACAGAATTTCCAAAATACAAATAAAATTAAATAATGAAGAGAAATTAATACTGATATTATCAATATGATGATGAAATTTAGGTCAAAAGATTTGTTTAAACCATCTTTTTTACGATACAGATCCAACGAGTTTCAACGAAAGACTATAAAACACGTGCTTGGTCTCTATTTTCGTAAAATAACTGAAACTTTCATTTATTGATCATTTGAGTGAGAATTAAGCAACTGTTTGCAACCTAATCGAAAATTTTGCCTCGATTTTAATCAGAAAGAGATACAAGTGATAACTGATGTCTTAATGGTCAGTAGATTATTGATATAATAATTTAGCATGTAGTGACAGTGATTAACAGAACGATAAATATTCTGTTATACTAAACAATACATTACTCTTACCTTGACTGCAATCACGTTTTAAAAGATTTTTCTGAATAACGAGTTCGTTTTTATGCATCTTCTTATAACTGATACAAATCAGTAATTTATTAGTCAGAGGCAATCATTTTTGGGTAATTAACGCCGAGTCTGTAGTATTTATTCATTGCCATTATGTTATAAACGACGGAATTCTCAACACAAATGACAGAAATGTAATATCACAGAGCTTTGCTCAACTAGAAACTTCTTAAAAGGACGGTTGATAAGGAGAATAACTCTCACAAAAATGAAATGAACCTGAGTGACAATCTAGCTGGACGTGATATGAATACCATGAAATGTTACATAATGAATAATACTTTTCCGATTGACAAATCTGAACACAGCGAAGGGAACAAACGTAGCAGAATTGTATTAATCTATTTTATTTCATTGTTTCTCATCAGTTGCTTACAACCTAAACACAAATGTTAATCTTTAAAAATCAGTTTACATACTTTGCTTCACAGTATCAAAAATATTCTCATTGAGAGAGATGAATAAAGGAGCTATCGATATAAAAGAATTATAAAAGATTTTCAAATGGATGGATACTTATGTTAATGTAACAATTCCAGATTCTAGATCACGAAATGACCTAAATTAGACAACCATTGGAATCCTGGTGACAATGAACGGTCGTTTCGTCGTAAGGTGAGACTCGTCAGTAGTGTACATCCACCACTTCGCAACCGGGAATCCAACCCAAGACCTCTGGTATGGTGCGCAGATACTTAAACTTCAGACCACTGAAGCGGATAGAATAATGTACATGTTCAAGTTCTATCAGTCTGCGATCTCTTACAAAATACATGAAGATAGGTTATTAGAAGAGTTTACATAAAAAGCTACGTAGTGACAACACAAGGGATTGTTTACAAAATTTAGGTTAATAAAATTCAGATAAAACTTAATGAAGTTTGAAAAAATCAAACTTTAATTGTTAAAAAAGTCGTTACGAAACTAGACATTGAAAATGGGTCACCAGAACAAAATAAAGTTGACAACAATATTTTTTTGAATCCACAATGGTTGAGACAAAGCGTAATATATGCAAAGCTCCTTGTTTACCAATAATTGTGAACGATTTTGAAGCCTCAACGTCATATTCACTGTCAAGTAACTGACGGGTGATTGAACCGTTAAAGACATATTAACCTCCTATTCTGAACTTCTGAAGAATGAACTAAGAAATGAGGATATCAACATTCCTTTTCGTTCTTCCAATGTATGTGCTTTGATACATACATTTAAACCAGTATACATAACAACTTGACTTATTTATCCGTCTACCGATCAAAGGTGGTGTTTACTGCGCAACAGTTCGTTCCGTCCTACTTTATGGCAGTGAAACATGGCCGGTAAGAGTAGAGGATATTCGTAGGTTACTAGTATTCGATCATAGGTGTCTTTGAAACATTGCTCGTATATCCTGGGCCCATCGAGTAAATAACTCAGTTGTTAGAAAACGGGTACTAGGTAAGGACGGAAAATCAATTGATGAGGTAGTGAAACTTCATCAGTTGAGATGGCTGGGACACGTGTTACGTATGCCCAACCACCGACTGCCTCGACTTGCGATGTTCAATGGTGTAGGAGTAGGTTGGAAGAATGCTAGGGGCGGCCAGACCACAACATGGCACAAATCCATGAAGTCACTGACAAGTGGATTGAGCTATGTTGGTAGGTGTAAACTACCTGGTTGGGATCCGCGAAATGATAGCAACCGATGGTTAGAGACCCTGAATGACATGGCTCAAAATTGTCTGCAATTGCGCAGATTCATCCACTCTTTATGTTCTTTCAAATTATAATCTTCTGAAACCTTCATGTCCCTTCTTTTTCTCTTTCCAAAATTATTTCACTGTATTATACTTCCTGAATAGCATCTTCAAACCCTAATCTTTTCGATTACTGCTTATACTTTTGCAACCTCTACCACTATAGGATTTGAATCGACAACTGAATCTCTGTGCTAATGTGGTATGGCAACCTGAACTGATGTACGTACGTGCGAAGTTCTGCGTTGTTACTGACTGACTGGCTCCAAAATGAACGACAGTCTTCTAACAATCTTTTCCGGCGATAGTTGATGGTAATATGCTCTATTTATGTCCATCGATCCGTCGATTTTGAGACTTACGATGTATCTTTGTATGCTCGAACTTAAAGCTTACTAAGATCAAGTAGTTATGTGCTAGGGTTACGCTCGACCCTTCAGTTTTCTAAGAACAGCAGAAAGCTCTATGCAAAACTCATATTTCGTTTCATCTGGACTGCAGCTATTTAAAATGTAGACAGAGAAGACGAAGAGGTGCCACCAAATATATCTAACTTTCTGTGCTCCTAATACCTCTTTTAGTCAGATGGCGTATAAGAGACTATCTATTGAGATGCAGTCCAGGTGAGTCTATTCTACTTTTGAATTAAGTGGGATGCATACTCCAGCGAGGAAACAGGAAGTAAAAGTCACGTCCAGAGATACACAGAGGATAAGCCACTCCAACCCTCCATTTTTACTACGTGACGTTCATTCAATGACCACACTTGGGCTCTACAGGCATGTTTTGAAGCCACAGCACAAACTAATAGCATGAGATTGTGTAGTACCACCTAATGAAGCCTGATGTTCGATTGACATACGGTTAGAACACTGAAACTCCAACATGTGGTCTAAAGCACAGTTCGTAAGAGCGATTTGTTAGCATTAGTGACGTATGGTGATAAAGATGTAGAAGAAGATTTGGTAGTGGGGATTGAAGAAATATTAAAAAGTTACGGGGTTTGATTATGAAAAAGGTGGTCTTGAATGCTGTTAAAGATATAAGGGCAGTTGTCACATTCGGGTTGTACACAGAGTGGAAGGATACTTTTTCTTATGGGCCTGAAAAAGAAGCTGAATTAATAGTGACTACAGTGACCCGGGAGTGTGACCACAGAGCCCGAAGGACAACAGTTCGACGTTAGTCGTGCACAAATGTTATTCAATTTTCTGGTGTATCAGCTCCGTACTGCGAAAGAGTTACTTACAGGGACGAAATCTGTTGGTAAGGTGAAATATAGGACCTTTAAGAGTGACTATTTATAACCCCTTGCTTCAATTCTAAAAGGCAGAAACGCCATACTGGTTATTTGGAAGAAACTTTACTTCTGTACAGTCAGCAGTATGACTTCGCCCTCGAAATTTAGGTTGATACCTTTAGTCTTTAACTAACCTGCCTAGCATGATATGACCTAAAGGAGCAAGTGTTCCAGCGAATTCGGATTAATTAAGTTATCATAATAAACAAGCTAAACCACCACGTCATTGTAGCAGCTACGACCGATAACTGAAAAATGACATGGGGTTAAAAATGCCTGGTCATTTTAAACAAAAATAAATTAATGAATTCGGATTAATTAATCTGACCATACATACACTTCTTATGAACATTTATATATAAAAATTAAAAGTCAACTAGAGTGAAAATGGAGGTAACAGGAGAAAAGGATAGTAATAAGAGTAATAATAATGTGAACACAATTTGAAACGTAATCACACTGGATAATAAGCCAATATTACCAACATTTCCAGTCTAGCTGTCCTTTTTTTAATATGTATAAATGTTCCTAACAAGTATATGTGTGATCAGATTGTTCGAAATGTATTGCGCTAATAGATCACATAGTTCTGATAATCTTCGTCTTCTTAGAACTACTGCATTCTCGAGGTGATGTTAATTACGGACACAGTAGGAAAAGCAAATTCTCTGAGCTATAACCTGGTTATTAGATATAGAAAATCCACAAAAGGGAGTTGAAAAAGCCCGACTTCAAACTAATGGTGTATATACGCTCTAAAATCCTGAGGGAACAAATGTCATATAAACATATCATCGGTCACGGCTACTATGGGATTTTTCGCCTGACATGATCCTAGTGCATTTTGGCTCGAAGAGTGGGTCTCTAAGAAAAATAACTCCTTTGATCTGGGAACCTAGGCAGTATCCCAGCCTTATTATAAATATAGCAATGAAGAATTGTAAAAAAACTTATTCGCTAGCTGCGATTGACTACTAACTCAAAAGAAGATTATTATCCATTTAGTTCAAGGGTTTCTAGTTTACCTTAGTCCATTTTTCTATCCTTTATTCGATCAGACCCTGTATTTACTTGTATTTTATTGCTTATAAAGCAACTTATCAGTAGTGGGAATTCTGTAGTGTCTAGACGATTTCAAGTTACTGATTAGTATAAAGTTCGAACGCAAATTGAACAACAAACAGGTTCATCTGTGCCTTTGGAAAATCTCATTATTGACATCTACTGTATGTGTGAGATCCGTATTCAAGACTAGTGAAGCACTGCAAATTCACTCTACATCCACTGATTTGAAAAGCTTATTTAATGCTGTTTGGTGATCACCAGATGGAACCTTTGACTAAACAATTTTCGATTTCATGTGACGGTTTATTATGTCGATGGGCCAAGATAATAACCACCATTGATTATCATCATCTACTGATTTTACTTCAGACAATTGACATAGGGAAAGGAATTTGTTTCACTGGAATAT